GCACTGGTCATTTTGAATCAGAAAATCATATGATTCACTATGTGGGAATACCAAAATAAAGAGAAATGGTGTGGCATTCATGTCAAAAAGGCCATTGCAAAATTAATCTTAAAGTACAATGCTGTCTATGATATTATATCTACCCACCTTCAAGGAAATCCCCTCAATACATTTATTATTCAAATTTAAGCATCAACCACAAAAGCTAGTGATGAAAAAACTGAAGAATTCTAACAACTACTTCAGTCAGAAATTGATCAAGCATGCAACTAAGATGCACGGAAAATTATTGGAGATTAGAATGCAAACAATGGAAACAAAGAGGAAGCAACAATAGTTAGAAAATATGGACTTGGTGACAGAAATGAAGCTGGAGATCGCATGATAGAATTTTGCAAGACCAATGACTTGTTCATAGCAAATACCTTTTTTTTCAACAACAAAAAAGGCAATTATATGCATGGACGTCTCCAGACAGAACACACAGAAATCAAATGGATTACATCTGTGAGAAGAGACTATGGAGAAACTCAGTATTAGCAGTTAAAACAAGGTCAGGGCCCGACTGTGGAACATATTCTCAATTATTCATATGTTAATTCAGATTAAAGCTGAAGAAAATTAAAAGAATTCCATGACAGCCAAAGTACAACCTTGGTCCCACCTGAAGTTTGAGAACATCTCAAGAACAGATTTGATACACTGAACACTGATGACGGAAGGAAGACCTGATTAGCCAGATGGTCATTCATGAAGAAAGCAAAATGTCATTAAAAAGACAGGAATGAAAGAAAAGGTCAAATGGGTGTCAGAAGAGCCTTTGAAACTAGAGTAGCGAAAGCAAATGGAAGAAATTAAGTCAAATAGCTAAATAGAAAATTTCAAAGGCAGATTGAGAAGACAAAGCCAAATATTATAATGAAATGTACAAATACCCAGAATTAGAAAATCAAAGGGGAAGAACACGCTCAGCGTATCTTAAACTGAAAAATCTAAAAAAATTCAAGCCTTAAATTGCAACACTGAAAGATTAGGAGGGCAAAATATTGAGTGCAAGAAGCACCAAAAGAAGATGCAAAGTACACACAGTCAATGTAACAAAAGAACTAGTCGACATTCAGCCCTTTAGGAGGTAGCATTTGAGCAAGAACCAATGGTGCTGAAATAGTTCAAGCTGCACTGAAAACAATAGCCAAAAATAAGACCCCAAATTCACCAAACTGATGAAAAACTGAAAGCACTCACCTTTATGCCAAGAAGTTGGAAAGACAGCTAGTTGGCCAACTAACTGGAAGAGATACATATTTATGCCCAAACCAAAGAAAGGCAACCCTACAGAGTGCTCAGATTATAAAACAGTATCACTGACATATCACATGCAAATTAAATTTTGCTGTAGATCATCTAACAATGGTTATAGCACTACATTGACAGGGAACTGCCAGAAGTTTAGGTCAGATTCAGAAGAGGCCATGGAACAAAGGATAGCACTGCTGATGTCAGATGGAGCTTGGCTGAAAGAGAAAATCAGAAATATGTTTACTTGAGTCTTATTGACCATGTCAAGGCATACGACTGTGTGATTCATAACAGACTACAGACAGATAGCCTTGAGAAGAATGGGAATTCCTGAACACTTCAATGTACTTATGAGGAATTTGTACATGGACCAAGAGGCAGTTGTGCAAACAAAACAAGGGCATAGCGCATGGTTTAAAATCAGGAAAAGTATGCATCCTCTCACCACACTTGTTCAGTTTGTATGCAGAGCAAACACACTGACTTTCATGAAGAGTGTGGCATCATGCTTGGAGGAAGGCTTATTAACAACCTGTGATATGCAGATGACACTACCTTGCTTGCTGAAAGCAGGAGGAATTGAGGTATTTACCGAAGAAGATCAAGGATTGCAGCCTTCAGTGTGGATTAAGACTCAATGGGAAGAAGACCAAAATCTTCACGACTGGACCAATGATAAATGGAGAAAAGATTGAAGTTGTCAAGGATTTTTGACTTACTTGGATCCACAATCAAGGCTCATGGAAGCAGGAGTCAAGAGGTCAAAAGACATATAGATTTTTGACTTACTTGGATCCACAATCAAGGCTCATGGAAGCAGGAGTCAAGAGTCAAAAGACATTGGTACATCTGCTGTATAAGACCTCTTTTTATAGTATTGAAAAGCAAGGATGTTACTTTGAGGACTAAGGTGCATCTGACTTTCCACTGCCTCATGTGCATGTGAAAGCTGGACGCTGAATAAGGAACACCAAAGAATTGATGCATTTGAATTGTGGTGCTGGAGAAGATTGAGAGTACCATGGAATGCTGACCGGACAACTGATCTATCATAGAAGCATGGCTAGGGTGCTCGTTATAGGCAAGGATGGTAAGACTTTGTCTGACAGTGACTCCGTTTTTTTTTTATTATGACTAGATAAGATAGAATACCAGCCATTGTAAGACATGACTGATAGTCACGAAACTGTGTATGATAAAAGGTTGTACTTTTAGCCTAGGTAAAAGTTTCCTGGATGCCTCAAATTGAGTCTTAACCAATGAATAAGGAAGGGAGGGAATCAAGATCCTCCGCAATCCCATCTTAACCTACTTCAATAACGTCATCTCTGTAAACTATTAGCAACTAATTCTTCCTTCTATCCAGATTGGCTTACTCAGTGTCCTCAGAGTATCCTTTATTTTCCTCTTCTGATTACTGCTCAGGCTATACCTACACATGCCTGACATTATCCCAGCACCTATCTATTCTGTAAAACTACCATAAATTCCAACCTCTTATGATTGACCATTTGGGCCTGTAGCAATTGCTTGATTCTCTGAATGCTTGCACTACAAGGTCAGATTAACAAACTCCCAGCCTCCCCCATTCCTCCATTTCCTTTCCCATTACATACTTGCCCACCATAATAAGCCTTAATGATTTGCATCCTACTCTTGAGATTTCACTATTAACATGTGACTACTTAACTGCAAATTCCATAAAAGCCAGACTCTTGTGTAATCAAGAGGAAAACAGGGCAAAGATATAGCACTTTTGTTTCTGTTATATACATGAAGAACAGAAAACTGCTAGCAACAGTCTCGGTTAGGGTTAACCCTAAAATTGGCTTAAGTGCTTGGACTTACAGAGCTTTTGTTTTTAGGTTCTTAATTTAACGCATCCTCAGCTCTAACAGCAGTAGACTGAACACTTTCCAAGATAGACTGCAGTTCAAGGTGGAACTGCACTCATATAGACTCATACCAACAGTGTCTGGAGTGCTGGGTCATTGGGAAAACTGGTGATGACAATAGTGCAATCGACTTATACTCCAGGGGCGTGATTGACAATGTAGTTCTCTTTGCTTTCCTGCTTGTAGCTTGGTTGTGTGCGTGTGTCTTCTGTTTTTTTCTTTTCCTAAGTTTTATTGGCACATAATTTACATATCATACAATACAATCATTCAATCATATAGAGAAGAACTGTCTCCCTCGGGTTGGCTGGTGGCTTTGATCTGCTGACCTTGCCATTAGCAGCCTAACTCAGAATCCATCACATCACCTGAGCTCTCAGAGATCAACCACAGTAAGCTCAAAATGACAAAAATCATAAAACAGCAAACAGGATGAACCAAAGAATCACTAACTCTTGGGAGGCTCTTTTGCCATGAAAAAATGAGCCCAAACACTTGAAATATTCAAAATTCTTGCCCATGATATAGCACTGGAACAAAAGGGTAAAAGTATACACAATCTTGCATTTGCTTAATTAAACCATCAGGTACCTGCATAGGAACTTGTATAAACAGTACCAGTGTGGCCTAAAACAGAAATGTCTGATTAGAACTAGGAGCTTTGGGCATTTCTTCTATAGAAAGACTACTATGAGACTACCAAAATTACCTGGAACTTTCTAGAAGTGATAACTGACTTCTTCCCTGCATACCTTCCTAACAGTGAAGAAAAATTAATTTGATGCAAGCTTCTTAAACAAACAAAAAATTAAACTCACTACCATCAAATCAACTATGATTCATAGTGACCCTATGGGACAGAAAGGAACTGTCCTTTGGAGTTTTTGAGATTATAACTCTTTACAGAAGTAGAAAGCTTCATCTTTCCCCTGTGGTGCAGGCTGGAGGTTTTGAACTGCTGACCTTGGGCTTAGCAGCCCAACATAAGGCTTTCAGACATGAGAAGTACCTATACACCAGGTAACCAGTTTTGTGAATAAAAAAGAAACTTGAAACCATTTCCTTATTAACTGAACAAAGTAAACTTCAAATGACTGATTTCGATCCAAGGTCAAGCCTACATATGTGGTTCTATTTTCCGAGCCTCTTAAATTCATCAACTTCCATGACTAAGACAAGAAAATGCTTAAGAAAATGAAGGAAACGCTTGATGAATAAAAACATTTATTTTAAATAAGGGAGAAATAGACTAGCAGAAATCATGTGAGGCAATTTTTTTTTTTTTTGGTTGTTACTCTTTTAATGAATCCCCCCCACCCCTAGTGAACCCAAATCGTTAGAAATGGGGTCTGGGAATTTACATTTTTCTTTAAATACATTTTTGAAAAAGACAAGAACAACCTAGTAGTTGTGATTGTAATCAGATTTCCGAACTGTTATGGTAGATCTCTTCGTGTTTAACATTCTACGCCTATACGCCCGACAAGTGCCCGAAGCGATGCCAGAACACTCAAGATTGGGTCCTGGCTGACCAAGGCCAGAGAATCCCGCTCTGCAAGTACACCCTCCAGTCCCCTACCAGGAAGAAGAAGCGTGCTGTGCTGTGCTGTGAGGCGTTGGGGCGAACTGCAAGGTTAGCAGTTCGAAACCGCCGGCCGCTCTGCTGGCCAAAGACGAGACTCTACTCCCATGAGAGGGGCGGTTCTCTGGGCTGCGGGGTCCCGTGAGCGGGCATGCGGGGCTGGGCGGGGGTGAGTGTGGGCTGGTCCCCGCCCGGGAGGGAGGAAGGACCCGTTTCGCACATACCTGAGGGCCCCCTGGTCAGACTGATCTCTTCCTCACAGGTCCAATACCCGACTCTTCCGTTCATGTTGAGTGCCCTTCAGGCTTCCCAGCTGGGTCAGCCAAACCTCGGGCCAGGTGAAGGCGACGCCCCGCGGCCGCTCACAGCACTTTCGGTTTCCGCAGCCTGCGGACCGGAAGTGAGAGCCCCGGGCGCGGGGGATGCCGGGAGCCGGGGTTTCCCGCGCGCGGCTTCCTACGGCGGCGGCGCTCGGCCTGCGCGCCTCCCCTCGCTGCCGCCCAGCCGGACGGAAGTGCGTCTGTGGGTCCCCCCTCTGCGGAGCAAGTGGTCGTTAGTTCCCGGCTCGAACACAGCGCCCACCCAAACTCACTGTAGTCGGTCTTCCCAGCTCCTAGCGACCGAGTCACGCCCACTCCCGAGGCTGCCCTGGTCAGTTTCCCAGACGGTGGCGCTTGATGCGACGGGGAAACCCTGTGGTCCTCCCGCAGAGCGACTGGTGACTTCGAACTGCTGACCTTGTGGTTAGTGGCCCAAATGCCACCTCTGCAGGGGCTCTCAAACCCAATCTTGACAAGCTGATACTGGTGCCTGCGACGAAGCCCCTAGGCTAATTCTCAAGGGATGCCAGGGGTGCTATCTTCCTCTTTGCTTCCGTTTGAAAAACTTGCCACTCAGAAAGGCTGGACTGGTTTGTACCTGGAAAGTCTGATTTTCCTATTAAAAAGGAAAAAGCGGAGAGGCAGGAGGGAGAAAGAATGGATAGGATTTACAATTACAACTTGGAAAGTCTAAGAAAAAGGAGAGGGAGAAAGGTAAGGTGTCTCACCCGTTTTATGACATGGAAAACTAAACTTTTTTTTAAATCAATTTATTGGGGCGCATACAATTCATCACAATATATAGATCAATTGTGTAAAGCACATCTATACATTTGTTGCCCTCATTATTCCCAAAATTCGCTTTCCTCTTGGGTTCCCGGAATCAGCTGAAAACTAAACTTTTAAAAATGTATCTTTATCGGAAGACAGGAGCCCTGGTAACATAATGTTCCAGCGTTGGGCTGTAATCCACAGGGTCAGCAGTTTGAAACCACCTGCCGCGCCTTGGGAGGAAGACGGGACTGTCTACTCTGGTAAAGAACTACAGCTTCAGAAACTCAGGGGCAATTCCACCCGGTCCTCTGGGGTCCTATGTGTTGTCATCGACTCGGTGACTGAGTTGAGATGATGACATGAGTGGCCGAAGACTTAACCGTCATTTCAGCGCAGACCACCGAACCGGGGTTAGGGCGTTCTGAAGTAGGAACGAAAAGGATGAAAGGGGTGAAAAACAAAAAAGCATTAAGAATTGGGAAGGTGCCTTAAAAAGCGTGAAGCACCAAACCCGCTGCCATCAAATCAATGATGCTTTTTTTTCTTTGTTTTCCTAAATTCTTGTGGTTTAGATCAAGATGTGCAGAGCGGACCGTGAGTTTTCCGTTGAACAATTCACACATTGGTTTCTACTCACGTCAGTCATCTTGATGCACGAAGTCCCTGTCCCACTTCCTCCCAGTTCTCCTTTTTCTGCTTGCCCAGCCCGCTGCCCTCTCACAAATGCTGCCCTTTTCATCTTTAATGCTGGATTAGTCTAACACAGGGGTGGGAGTGGAGTATTAAATTCACTATGGACCTAAAGGGGGGCTAGGGACCATACTCTTGGAGGTCCACCAGTCACAATTAGACCAAAAAGCCTGGTCTTTCTGATGGTTTTGGCTTCTGTTCCACATTTTCCTTCCATTCTCTCCAGAATCTTCTAATGGCATGAACATTTTCAGAGCAGTTAGTGGTTGTCAGGTACCATTTAACTCTCCTGCACCTAGGACTGTGGAGATTGATAGGCTAATTTTTTCTTTTTTTTTCAAAGTCCACTTTTTAATGATTAGTCATTGCAAACCTTATGAATAGAATTTTGCTTAGAGAGCATTAAATATATATTGGCGGTGGTGGAATATTTAGGAAAAAATAATGAGACTGGGTGCATTACTGGAAGAAAATAATACCACTGAACTATACATATAGAAATTGATAAAGTTTTGTTGTTTATACATCACTATAATAAAATATTATGCAAATTGAATCCAGCTCTAATAAAATAAATAGCAGATTTCTGAAACATTTGGGGATTATAGTATATGATACAATAATTGTTCCATATAATAGTGATCAAGATCTATCATGTGTTATTTCTGCTACCCTGCTTCCCCCAAAATAAGACAGTGTCTTATATTAATTTTTGCTCCCAAAGATGCACTAGGTCTTATTTTCAGGAGATATCTTATTTTTCCATGAAGAAGAATCTGGTACACATTTTTTGTTGAACCAAAAAAAAAGGGAATTTGTTACCTGTATACGGTACGGTAGTAGTTGTCACCACAAACCACCATAACCAGACAAACCGTGAATCCTACAGTATCAAGAATTTCTTGTTACTACCATTATTTCCATGTACAACAACCTATGGTACATTTACTCATAATCTATGGTACATTTACTCACACTTCCTGTCTGCTCCGGCTGCGCTGTGGCCAACAGTGAGCTGTGGGGCAGCACCCGCCGCTACGGTCCAGAGTCCAGAGTTACAGTAGCTTTGGGGCACCTTATTATTGGGGAGGCCTTATGTTCGGAGAAGTCTTATTTTCAGGGGATGCCTTATATTTCAGCTAGAGGCAAAACTGTAAGTGGTCTTATTTTCGGGAGATGACTTACTTTCGGGGAAACACGCTACTTAATCTTCCCACAATTCCACCTTAATTTGTAACAAAGAAGAATTTCAAAAAACTAAGATTTTTTTTTCTCTTGGATTTTGCATTTTTAAAAATCATTTCATTGGGGGCTCATACAACTCTTATCACAATCAATACATGCATCAATTGTGTAAAGCACATCTGTACATTTGTTGCCCTCACCATTCTCAAAACATCTGCTCTCCACCCAAGCCCCTGGCATCAGCTCCTCATTTTTCCCCCTCCCTTCCCACTCTCACCTCTTTCATGAAACCCTTGATAATTTATAAATTATTATTGTCATGTCTTACACTGCCCGACATCTCCCTTCACCCACTTTTCTGTTGTCTGACCCCCAGGGAGGAAGTTATATGTAGATCCCTGTAATCGGTTCACCCTTTCCACCCCACCCTCCATCCAACCTCCCAGTATCACCACTCTAAGCACTGGTCCTGAAGGGATCATCCGCCCTGGATTCCCTGTGTTTCCAGTCCCTATCTGTACCAGTGTACATCCTCTGGTCTAGCCAGATTTGTAAGGTAGAATTGGGATCATGATAGTTGGGGGGAGTTGGGGAGGAAGCATTTAGTAGCTAGAGGAAAGTTGTATGTTTCATCGTTGCTGCACTGCACCCTGACTGGCTGGTCTCCCCGCGACTCTTCTGTATGGGGATGTCCAGTTGGATAGGCTAATTTTTTCGTGGGCCAATCTCTCTTCTCTCTTTCTTCCATCAACTCGATGCCAAGTCATAATGACCCTATAGAGCAGGATAGAATTTCTCCTGTGGGTTTCTGAGACTATAACTCTTTATAAGAACAGAAAGTGGCAGGTGGAGGAGGAGTGGCAGGTGGTTTCCAACTGCTAATCGTGTGGATCTCAGCTGATCTCATATACATACCCTGCTAAGGCTCCCTGTTTGTGGTCCATTAGACTGATGAATTCTGGTGCTGGTGAAGAATATTGAAATACCAGGGTTACCAAAAGAACAAACAAATCTGTCTTGGAAGAAGTACATCCAGAATGCTCCTTAGATGCAAGGATGGTGAAACTTTGTCTCACTTACTTTAGACATGTCAGGAGAGACTAGTTCCTGGAGAAGGACATCATGCTTAGTAAAGTAGAGGAGCAGCAAAAAAAGAGGAAGATCCTCAACAAGATGGATGGACACAACGGTTACATCGATGGGCTCAAGCACAAAAACAGTTGTGAAGATGGCACAGGACAAGGTAGTGTTTTGCTCTACTGTACATAGGGTCGTTATCAGTTGGAACCAACTCAAGAACACCTAACACCATTAGACCATTTGACTAATTAATTCCATAAATCTATAGCTTATCATAATTCTTTGCTCCAGATTTGGAAGAATCAATGGATACACCTTAGATGACTACTTATGAGCTTCTAAGACCCCAGCCACTATTCATTAAATTTGTGAGTGATGGTTTGTCAATTGATGGTATGGATTTACTCTTTCCTCTCCCAACTATGCAGCCTGTGTGTTGATCCAGGTATCTATTTGTAGATTCCCACTCTTGCAGGATTGTGTATATAAGAGTATGTCCATCTTAACTCTTGGAAAGCTCCCAGTGACTTCCCCTGCTATGTCATTTTTTTTACTAATCTCCCTCTTACTTTATATTGCCTCCCCCTTCACCCAAGTCATCACTGGTCTACTGAGTGATCATGAATTGCCCTCTCTCCCTTCCCATGCTACCCTAAAATTCAAAACTCACTGCCTTCAGGTCCTTCAAACTCATAGCTATCTTGTAGGACATGGTAGAACTGCCTCTGTGACTTTCCAAGACTGTAACTATTTACAGGAGTAGAAAGCCTTGTCTTTCTCCCACAGAACAGGTGGCAGTTTTGAATTATAGCCCTGAAGTTAGCAGCTCAACACATAACCACTATACCACCAAGGCTCCTCCATGCCACCCTGGTAACCATCAAATTATGTTTAATTTGAGTGTGAAAACCTATTGACTTTTTATAATATAGTCTCTACAATATTTGTGAATGACAAATTTCACTCCACATTATGTCCTCCAGATTTGTCCATGTTAAAGGATGTTTTGGAGATTCAGTGTTCTTTAACTTTGCCTAATGTTTTTTTGTGTGCATGTACCAAAGTTTATTTATCGATTTTCCATTAATGGACATTTAATTATTATCTTTTGTTATTGTAAGTTATCAAGGCTCTATATTTCTAGAGTACTGTATATACCAAATAGATATTGCTGAGTCATATGATATTTCCATTCCCAATTTTTTGAGGATGTACCATGTTGCTTTCCACAGTGATTACACTATTTTACAGTTCCACCAACAGTGTATGCAGAATCTAGGCTCTCTGCACCCTATCTAGCATTTTTTCCTGATTTTTTTAAACTTTGC